TATGTATGTATGTATGTATGTATGTATGTATTTGGTACAGGGTCTCACTATGCAGCTCAGACTCATAGTGATCCTCCTGTCTCAGGCTGTCCAGGGCTGGGATGACAAGCATGTGCCACCACACCCAGAACTGTTTACTGGCTCAGCACAGTCCTATGGCAGGGCCCATGTGGCATGTGGGACTGGGGATCGAACCTTGGTCCCTGATATTGCCAAAGCAGTAGCTTGCTTAGTCCATTGAGCTCTCTTGCTGGTCCAATAATATCTTTTTAAACAGTACTACATATCTGAGAACACCAGGAGGAAGGCAAGGGATCAGATAGAGAAGTCTCCTAGTCAGCTCACAGAAAGGTGGGTCTCTAATGTGGCTCATAGGAAGACACCTGGAAGGTTATACTGCACCCAGATTTTGACTTTTGATTTTTTTGGCAGAACTGGGGACTCAACTCAGACCATTGCACTTGCCAGGGATATACTTATTCTACTGAGTCATCTCTCCAGCCCCAACACCCAGATTTTGAATTGCTTAATTCACATCATTCTAGTTCAAAGCACTCTGCAAAGAACACTATAAAATTATATTGCGAGTAAAGACAGCAACATGTATAATACAGGAAATTACATATACTATAAATATATAAAGACACATTCATAACAACTGATCTAGAAGAACATTCACAGAACCATTAAAAATCAATAAAGTGTTTTCCTGTTCTCTATTAATTTTTACTTCACAGATTGTTTTCCACATTAAGACGTCATCTTTTATAACTTAAATCAAATTAAATATTTAATGTTAGTCTAAATTGAGGATTGGGAACTAGTGACTTCATTATATTTTTATTTGTAGATATTATTTTTTAAATTAACAAAAAAGATTAAAAGCATGAAAGATTGTTATTCAAAAATATGTATTGTGTGTTAAAATTGTAGGAATGAGAGGCATCCAATAATAGCTAGTATCCATGGTAATTGTTATAAATTTTTTGCATCTATCTTCTCACCAGGTGAACAAGAAATCATCTTGTATAGTAGGCATTTGACAACACTGACCCTTGTCATTCTAAAGCATTCATGTGTATTGTGTGCTAGAACAGTAGAAGATCAAAAATCTAAATGCTACATGCTTATTTTAAAAACATTTCTCAAATCATTGCAGCAATTCACATCAATTATAAGCAGATTACTTAGGAAAATGTGTAACATTTTAAGTTAACATTCTCTGAAATTAGAGTGTGTGTGAATATTGAATGATGCGGGTTTCAATATAACAAATGGTTTCCTGTTTTGAACCTTGCTCTTCAATTGACATACATTTACTCAAAGATTTCACATATACTTCATGATTGTCCGGAGCTATGTAAGCATCTAAAATCTGTGCCTGGAAATGTCCAATGTCATGATTGCTAAGTAAACAGAGATGGAAAAGAAAACACCAGAGTAACAACAATTTTTTTTTTCTCAGTTGAAAACAAACCTAAGAATTTCCCTTTAAAGAAAGAAAAGAAAAGTAAATTTTTCACTCCTATTTTAACTGATTGCAGCCCTCTCTCTCCTGAATGAGTCTAGAGATAGCTTTCTTTACCTCTCTGTTCCTGAGGCTGTAGATGAGGGGGTTCAGCATGGGGATCACAATGGTGTAAAACACAGAGGCCACCTGGTCCTTGCCCAGGGAGTAGGACTGCCTTGGTTTGAGATAAGTAAAGATCATAGTGCTGTAAAAGATGGAGACACCCAGGAGGTGGGAGGCACAGGTGGAGAAGGCTTTTTTTCTTCCAGCACTAGAATTAATTTTCAGGATAGTAGAGAGGATGGACATGTAGGATCCAGAAATAGTGACAAGGGACACTATTAAGGTAGAACCAGCAAAAATGAATATAATGAATTCAGCCTCATATGTGTCACTGCAAGACAGGGCTAAAATTGGGGTTGTGTCACAGAAAAAATGACGGATGACCGTGGAGTTGCAGAAATTCAGTTTGCTCATACAAACCGTGTTCACACTGGATTCTATGAAACAAATTGTATAGGAGCTCGCAAGCAGAGCCCAGCACAGTCTTGGGGACATAATGACCGAATAGTGCAGAGGGCTGCAGATAGCCACATAGCGGTCGTAGGCCATGCAGGAGAGGAGAAAGCATTCTGTGCCACCCAAGATGATAAAAAAGTACATCTGCATGAAGCAGCCCAGGAATGAGATGCTTTTGGTAGAAGACAATAAGTCCTGTAAGGTTCTAGGGGTGATGACACTGGAGTAGCTGAGGTCGAGGAAGGACAGATGGGTGAGGAAAAAGTACATGGGCGTGTGCAGCTGGGGGTCCAGGCGGATGAGCAGGATCATCCCTGCGTTCCCCAGCACTGTGACCAGGTAGATGAGGAGGAAGAGCAGGAAGAGGCCCAGCTGTGTCTCTGCAGAATCCGCCAGCCCCAGGAGGATGAAGTCAGGCTCATTTATGGGGTTCTGTTTTCTCATAATGTAGTGTTTTAAACTATTATGAAATAAAAGTTAAAATGTAGTATGAATGACTGAAAAAATTTTTTGTTGCCATGAATTCCTGACACGTATTTTATTTACTTTATAATTTCCAGATATTAAAAATAACCTGCTATATCTTTATAAAATATGCAAATATCAGAGAAGGATATAGACATGAATTGACATTTACCTATGATACATAATAAAATATTACATCGTATGGGATTAGCTGGAATATGATGCCAGCCTAAATGCACCCATTATTAATGCATTCAATCCACACATGTTTCATGCCATAGTCACCGTTATCCATGAACTTTTGGCTCACACGAAGAGCACAGGAAAGATCTTTTGTGAAACTGGAGCAACTGCTTCCTAAGCCTGGAATTCTACTGAGGATTTTGCCTTCTGAGTGCATATGAACAATTCTCTATTCCTATTCATAACTTATTTTATCAAAACTGAGAAAAGGGGTTTAATGTACTATAATGCAAATACCTTTCTTTTATTCTTCTTTAGTCCCCAGTGCTATTTGTCATGCATGACAAAGCTGTTTCACATTTTGGGCAACTTCAATGAGGTGCAGGAAGATTATATACCACCAAAAATATGGATTTGATGAATTCCTGGAAAATATGGGGGTAAATTAATTTTCTGAGCTGAAAGATATTTTTATACATTGGCTGCTGCTCCACACTCCTGCCAGAGGCCGTTTATGCCTTTAGCTTCTGGAGACCACTGTTTTCTAAAGGGACAATAAACAAGATTAAGTTTGAAGTTGTGTTTTCCTGTGCTGATTACAACTCTGTTGTGTCTACATTCTTGCTTTGAATATATTGGAATTACATTGTTAAGCTTTTTTAAACTAATTTTATTGAGAAACATATCAATGAGACAGTTTCAAAACCGATTAATACGACAGTTTCAATAATTATTACATTATTAAGTTTTATGTATACACTTATTTTTATGCTCATAAAATGCTTATTATAATGTATCTTTTCTAAAGCATACCAATTTTCAGAATGATAATTACTTTCTGTCAGTGCTGGTTAAATTCTTTTCAAATATTTTCTATGGAGAAATTAAAAAATGTTTAAATTTATTCTGAAAGAAGATAAGTTATAATGTAAGGAGCTAAGTCTTTTTTTGATGTTTAATTTCCTTGATATAAGTCACTTTTATCTATTTGATATGAATCACTTATATATTTCTACATTTTTCCTTTTTGATTCTGCAGTTCATTCTATCACCCTAGAAGGTTTCCTCAGGTGTTGGTCAAGTGTATACTCTACCTGCAAGTAGGGTCTGAAGCGTACCTACTGCGAAGTCATGGAGAGTGGTGAGCACCTGTGAATTTAAGCAGAGCTTGGGTTCCTTGCTTTCCCAGCCTGGTAAGTCCAGGGTGCCCCGTGCAATAGCACTCAGGGAAGGGCAACATCTGCTCCTCTGGGGCCGGGAAGTGAGAACCCACTCTGGGCATGATTCCAAGTCAACTGCTGGGAGAGAAAATGAGCAAAAGATTTTCCATCTTCCCTGCAAAGTTCCCCATGGAAGAGCATAAATACATTCTCTCAATATGTTCTTAATTGTAGATAAACTGTACATTTAAATGACATAAACATGAGTCCAAAAATCTCACCATATACAACCTTGAAGCAGGACTGTCC